TTTGAAGTAGCAAAGCTGCCCCTAAAAGAGACTTTAGACATATAAATAGAAAGAGTACTGAAGTAACTTGTAAGTCAAAAAAAGTGCTCCAAATTCAATATATAAATACAGGCAGATGAATCATCTTGATAACAAGGCATTAGAAATTAAGACTAGTCGCGTATCGAATTGTTGGACAACCTAGACATTAGTTAAGTGATTGTTAGCATGCGAATAGCGGCGCTACTCTCTAAATTGTATAATGCGTGAAACAAAGGCGTAAAAAACGTAAAAAATCTCGAATGCATGTCAAAAAGTTTTGTCGCGAAATGTTCCTGAGGTAACGAAATTCATCTACATATACGGTAAAAAACGGTACGTTTTTGTGAATACAGTATTTCCTTTTATTCTACTATTGTTCGTACGTAACTCCATCTCCAATGATCTCTGTCGTTATCACGGAACAATTGTTGCAAATCGCGTATAATGTTTCTACCTACTTTTAGAGAAGGAAGAAATAGACTTTATAAAGAAAAGAAGGGAGAGTTATTTAATGAAGAAAAAGATATGAAAAGTTTATTCCTTTTAATTGCATTATAACTTACATGCATTCCATGAGCGTCGGGGAAGAAGTAGAGGGACAGATATATATGCTCTTGCGGTTTGAGCGTAAAATACGTAGAATTAGTATATTATTGTTAGAAACATCCTAAAGTGAGATAGAAAGACAATTTATGTCTATTATTGTATAATTATTGTCGATGACAGCTTACACTTGAGTGCTGTTATTTTTACCTCGATATGCATCGAACACCAATCGATTTCGCTTATAATAAAAAATCTTCCCTTGCCACTGACATTTTTATTTATCCTATCTAACTTATATATTTAAAAAGAACTTAAAATTAATTTCTTGTACGCGTAGATATATATATATTAAACTCTTAACACGTTCGCTTTCGTACACCAATCAACGTCATCGTAGAAAAAAAAGTAGTAGGTATCGACGGTCATGAAAAAAACTATGATCTTGTGATCGACGGTCGCGAGACCAGTGATCTCGCGATCGACGGTCCTGAGAACT